CCTGTATGATGGTAGACCATCCTGATTACCGTTTTCGAGACAGTGGTATAGCCATCCTTGGCTACGTGGAATTGGTTGTGAATAGGGGAGTGTTGAGATTTCTCGACGGAGGCTAGGCTCGAGATGGGTTTCATGTGATGCCTGTTACCGTATCCAAGTTGAAATGACGTTGGACGATTCTTCCTCGGTCTTGCAGTCAAGCGGAAAGGCCTACAGCCCCGAGATATCATCACTTACTGTAAACCAGGGTCCTTTCTCGCAGATATTCAGCAGATGTTGTGGGGTTCCATTCCGCCCAAAGCTTTGCCGTTGATGACGTTGGGAGTGCCCCTAGAAGATGATGCTGACCTTGTTGGACTATAGTGACTTGGAATGTTTGGAATGGGAAAGTGTGAGTTGAACGCCTCTCTGAGTAGTAGGTTCTGAATGTCAATTATGGTGGGTATATTCAGCTATATTCACGCCGTCCATCTGGTTCTATTTAGTTTGAGATTGCCTCATGTATGCCGCGCTCGTCTGGAGGTTGATGATGGTTCTCAAGCGTCCCGGCCTTAATCAGAGGTGATCATATTTCCTTCATCGCTTCCCATTCCACGTAAATTTTATCGCTAGTCCCTTGTAGATTAGCACAAGTTTCTCACTGAAAAAATTCTTCTGCATGGATCTCATTCTCATCACGAAAAGGAGAAGAGAAGAGACATCGGTCCACCCCACCCAGACGGACTCGAGAGCCGTAATGCCATGCTAGTTTCCTTAGAAGGCTTTTGTGACATACCTCGCTTAATTGGGTGAGTGTTTTAAAGTCAATGGTGGTTTATCTTCGTGCTGGTCGTATCTTTACAGGTGCTCAATCGGTGGGCACTATATAGGGGCTTGCTGTTCGTCGTTGTTGACTCGGACCTGGCCCTCGGAACTGAGCCTTAGAAGAGCCATGTGGATGGAATATCGTGTTGTTCCACTTCAGATCTATCTATGTTCTTATTTCATTATCCAATTGCGAAAGAAAACCTCTCGTGTCTCTGGTAGTAGGAATCCCTGCACCATCAGGTACGTGAAGGTTAGGATATGATCTTGACCACATCAACCACAGGCAATCCAACCGAGACACGGTAAGAGTAATTTCCTAACTGATCTTGAGCTCCTCCCTATGTTAAGATGCGTGCACCATATTAGCCTTCCTGATTATCGAGCTTACTGCGGTAGCTTCCTTGCCCTCGAATCGAGGTAGATTATGTAGGCCATAGAATCGTGTGTTTAGGCTTGTTACAATTCGAGTAGGATTCCTACTATCAATTCAGCAGCGAGGGTGGACATGTCGGAGGCTATTCATTACTTCACTATAAAAGTTCCCTGTAGCACTGCCTCCTGGTGGAAATATGCTCTTCGTCCTCCAAGGACGGCGGATGAGTTGCGTGTTTAAGTAGGCATGGCATACGAGGGGGCATCTGGATGCAGTGGGAAATAGTAAACGAACGTTTCAACATGCAGCCAAAGGCTTCATTTGATGTGTCCACGTTGCTTAAGTACGGAGCTAAACTCAAGGCATGTCTTTGCCATGTGTGCTATCTCACTTGGTGCTTTTCGATACACTTGCTGAAACCTTCGATGCCATGCACTCAAGACATCTGGAACTAGCTCAACTAGATAACATCACACTCGCCGGAATGTAATAAGTTATAGAGCCGCTTCTGTTCTGCTCTTGAGTGAATCACTGTTACTATTACTCCCAGGTTTCAATGTCAATGCAAAGCTAGAAAGCCAACGGGTGTATACACCACTTTTGCAATTTCAGTATACTAGACGCAGCCTGGCGGGAAGTGATACATTGATCTCCTCATAGCACGTTCAGAATTACGGAATACCGCAGTGTGACTCAATAGTCAGCAACTACCTCCCAGTTGACTTTGCAAATGAAGTGGTATCCCGTTTCCTATGTAGGCTGCCATATACATCCTCAAACAACGACGAAAGTGCATTACTCTGCCTCAACAACACCCGTGCCTGGTCTCTTGTAACTAATCTTCAACATCCTGAGATGTTGATCAATTTCAAGCGCTTCACCCATATAAACTGAATAGAGCAGTGTACCCGAGTAAGTGCAAGTTTCCAGCCGGTTCTCAAGAAAGCAGCGCGGGGGAGACCAAAGAATTCAAGTTGACGTGTCAGTAGACTCTTATTTATATGGCCATACACCTCTGTCAACTGAGCAACCATGAGAGCTTGTTCAGTCGAGAATTCCAGACGAGGGTGAAGTCACCCTCTTCCGGACAATTACGGCTCTTGAGTCTCTAATATGGTCTCGATTTTCTCCTAGGATCGAATTAAGGAACGACCGTTGGCTATGAAATCTCCTGTGTCTTGCCAGAGATACGAAAGCCATTCTGACATCGCGTATCAGCGGCATAACGTTTAAGCTGTCTTCTATAGGATCCATGGACTACGCAGCGCTGTCAAGTCTCGGACAAATTGCTGGAATCATAAATTCAGGGCCTAGAACACTCTAGGTACGGTCACCAGCTATAGTATCTGCCACACCAAGCGACGAACTCGCAACCAACTAATGCCATCACATCACGACAGATACGTCGTCGCCGCCTGTTCTCCCAATCAAACTCTTCCAAATCCATATTGTTTTCCCTCCGACTACATCTTTTCCCCGCAAACCCCACAATGTAGCATCACATCGTACAACCTTCAGGGCTTCAAACCCAGGCATTCCGAAGGATGAACAACCTCCGGAACCAACATCCTCAAGTCCTCCTCAGTAACGTGGGCCCCTTACCTATCATGCACGACGCGCGCCGCCGATCATGTGGGTGATACCTCCCGTCCAACCTCCGAAGGTTACTCAACCCACGGAAAACCAACATCAATTACAATACGACCGCCAGCCGTTAACGGTTTCCTTTTCCACCCGTCCATTTCCATATTCCCTCGGTACGTTGGCTGACCCTCGCGGACCAACACACCTGTGACCTTAATCCTTCATCCTATTGATCCTTCTATAAGACGATCATCATATCAAAGCGTCCTTTAAATGCCCCCCCCTTCCCTCTCAGCTGAATAAACACCCCAGTCACAAGCGCTAAACCCAATAGAGAACGAAGCCGTCTTGGAACCATTGCTTCTTCTTTTATTTCTCTTCCCCGCATTATTACCTTGCAGCTTTTCCCCTCGTTCTGGCTCTCGTTCGAATACTACCTCGCCAGGCCTAACGGCACGACCTGCTGACCTCACCGGAGAAGCCCCAGACCACCCCTCAAAACTGATCACTGCGAATCCCACCTCGTTCTCGAATGTAGGTACGGAGTTTCCGCACTCCCGTTCACGTCCAGGTGGTCCTTAACCCTAACCTCAATACCACCCTATTACCAACCCCCATAACATCCATAAGAAAAGCCGTGTTATATCCCCCCCTTCCATTCCCTTCTCCACCTTCTCCGCTCTCGTCACCGCCGCCGCTGCCGCTGTCGCTTCTTCCCTTCCTTCCACTTCGAGGGCCTAAGATGCGACGGCCCGATGCTCCGTGACAAAAAGAGACAGATGGAAAATCACACAGAAGGGCCCCATTGGTGTCTCATTCGCTATGCTAATTTGCCCACCCCCCTCCATCCAACTCAATCGAGGAGCCATGTAACCACGGAGCCGCATGCACCGTCCCTACACACCCTCTTCTTCGCCGACGCAATAAGGGGAAGGGAAAAAATGAAGAAGAAGAAACCCTGATCTGCAAAGAAAGGCGCAGACTGTGCCATTCATGCTTCTTCCTCTCGAACACGTTCCGTCCCGCCTGCCAAATACCGAGGCTGGCTTGGGCTTAGGCTTGGCTATGGCTTTTCACACAAGGTTGCAAGGCAACGGCATCGACGCTTTCGCTGGCTGACCCGTTACACAAGAGTACTCTGACCTAGCAGTAACGGCACGAGACTACCCTCCTCGGCTTCCCCTCAATTTCCCCTCAATCCTTTCCGTTTTCCCCGCCATGCACCACATTTGCTGGGGAGGATGGGTTAGCGACGCATCTCGGTGTTAGCGACCGAGATTCAACTAGAATCTATCCTACAGCCCTTTCCCCGGACTAGCCCCAAGGTCCCAAGCCTTAGGTCCTCAGATCAGGAACAGGAACTGTTGCTTCCTGTGCAGTGAATCAATGCCAAGATATAATTAATAGTGAGCATGTCTTTCTGCAGATGCTGCTGGTAGTGAAGGTAGCTAAGGAGTCACACAAAGTTCCTTGGCGGATGTTCATCTCCATGCGTGAACCAACATCCGTAAGCTTGGCAACGTAGATGCCGTAGAAAAGATATCTCGGGGAATAGTGTCATACTTGCAGAAACCATGGTTCGGTAACTCAGGGGTCCGATCGGATCAGACCGATGCGTTTGGATGGCGTAGAACGGCGCTATGCTCGGTATTTGATTCCTCACTGTCTTTCAATTGTACAGCAAGTGACATGATGTCAATTAAGGGATAGTCCATATCGGGAGTAATGGTGATTTTGGTAGATTTGTTTGAATTGTTTGTGACAAGCTCCGATAAGCGTATACTTGGACGAGTCTCGAACTCTCAAAGGCTCAAAACACCTAAGCGGGGCCACAGCAGGGCCATATGAGTTGCTAACAAGAATGGCTACCTTCTCCTACTCTGCGAAACCGCAGACCCTCTCTTCTCAGTGAAGAAGCACTCAGCCAGAAAGGCATGGACTCTGCGTGCCTATTATTCATCTTACACGTGCCCCCGAGTAAACAAGTGATCCAAACTCCCACGCATGCTAGATCATTCCTTCATCAAGAGCTCCCCCAGAAGTGCCGTTTCCATCCTCATGAGCCTTTTGCTTTTTGTTTCCAAACATCTAAATGATGGCCGCTGCCACTAGGTGTTGACCCCGACATCCAAAAGAAAATTCGCGTTCAAATACGGAGGTATCGTGGCGACATACGAATGGCCGCGGCGTTGACTGAAAGCCGGAACCACATGAAACCGTTGAATCGTACAAAACCCTACTGCGACGCTCCAGTACCACCGAAAAAGAAGTCAAGCTCACTGCCTGGGCCCCGAGCGAATTGGTGCTCGTTTTCCGCGAGTTGCTCCAGGAGGCTCAAGAATGGGTCCTTCTCCTCACCTGGGCCGGTGCCAGTGCTTCCGTTGTTGCTCTTGTTTCCAGGACTGGGTGCGGCGACACCGGCGACCTTGTTTCCACCTTCGTCCCCATGCCACGCGGCTGGACTTCCAAATGCATTTGTAGGCAGCCCGCCAAACATGGGGTCATTGTAGTTGCCCCCTGCCTCGTTGTTCCCACTTGCCCCCGGCGTGGCAAAGCTGAACTGCGGAGAGAAGGAGTTTGAAGAGAGCGCCGGCATGTTGCCTTGCTGGTGGCTCTGAGGTCCGAGAGAAAAGCCTGCCGCCGCCGCCGCCGCTACGGCTGCGTTGTTGGCTGCAGCTTCGTCGTATTGTCCGTGTGAGGCAGACATTGAAGGGTGCTCCATGGTCTCGGGATGAGGAGGCAGAGATGTGGGCGTCGCCAGCATTCCCGGTGACGGATGAGATGCCATAGTAGGGGTTGGGTGTGAAAAGGAGTGGCGGACATGAGAAGGCGTTGGCAAGCCATGCGGACGCGCCATATGACTCGTGCTGAGCGGTGAGAGGATTTTGGCATCTGGACGCTTTCGGCCAGATGGGGCTGTGTTCTTGCGCTTGAGGCTCGGTCGCTCAGGCTCGTTTATACTGTTGGCACGAGGCGCGTAAAGATCGTGACCTGTATAGGTGTCTGTGGTGAAGTCGACAATCACATCAGAAAGGCTCAAATTTGCTGCGTCAAAGTTGAAAGTCTGGCCACCGGGCCCGCCAATATTCGAGTAGCGATCGAAAAAGTCCTCGAGGTGGAATGCCGGAGAATATCGCATAGGATTGTTTGCAAGGCTTTTGACCAGTTCGGAATGAGCATTGTAGATTCCTTGCAGTGTTTCCCTCTGATGTTGGACACTTGCCCAAGCGTACCGGAGCTCGCTCAGTTGCTGCATCTCTCTGGACAGAAAGTCTGCTGACATGCTGAACACAGTCGAGTCACCATTGCCATTCTTGTTGTAGTGGGCACCGTGAATGTGGACTGTGCCGGCGGTGCATATGCAATAGCCAACGAAAGCCGGCCATTCAATTGTGCCGGTCTGCTTTCCAAGTTCGACAAGCTCAGATATTGCGTTCGCGTGCAGAAAACACATATTCGTTGCTTCAATCTGCCAAGATTGGTGCTGACCGGTTCCGGCGAGTTCAGCGAGGTCGATGGGTAGAAATGGTCGGTAGATGAGGCAGTGAATGAGGTGGTAGATGAGCTTGCTTAAAACCAGAATCGTCGAGTCGGGCTGACCGAACAGCGTGTCGAGGCTTGAAAAAACGTCCTCGGTGCCGGAAGCCCAAATGTCCAAATCTTGACGAATCTTTGACAGATTTGAAAGTGAGTGCCACGGAAAATGAGAGTCGCCCTTGACACCTCCAGCAGCTAGGTAGCGATTTGTTATACCAAGAATCCGGCTAATGTCGATAAGCATTCCCGTGCTACCTTGAGACTTCTTCCCGCTTCCCTGGAGGAACTGCAGGTTGGACCCGGACTGAAAGAACTCGCCATCGATCGGGGGTACCGAAGGGTTCGGTGACCAACACGGAAGCCGGAGAAGGATGGTCTTGTCGCCGATGAGAGATGGACGCTTGGAGCCGCAAGCAAGAAAACGGTCGAGTAAGTAACATGTCCAGAAAAGTCTCCTCCTCATTTCTCGTTCCACCGGCGTTACGCGTGCATTATTGTCCATCTCGCGATGAGTTTCGAGAGCCATTGCCATCCCAACTGCATTTGCTGGACATCGTGTTAGCATCTCAATTTCCAATGGGGATCCTAGTTTCCGTGACCTACTCATCAGCATATACGCCTTCTTGCCCTTCCCTGCTGCAGTGAAGGCGATGACCAGCAGGAGAAGAGCCTGTAGGGCGTCGACCGAAGGCTCATCGGTGTCAATCTCTGCTCTGGCACGCGAAGCGAAGTCTTCACTCAGATGTACAGCTGACTGGTATCCACTAGGATGTGGTGTGTATCTAATGATTCGGTCAGCGACTTCAATGAGTTGTTGATGTTGACTCTTACCTTGCAGCAACAGCGTAGATCCCGTGAACTAAGTAATTCGGTAATTGGTTTAGTTGAAGTCGTTGCCGGACAGATGATTCGTCTAAGATGTGATAGGGTTTGGAGTGAAAACGCGAGAAGTAGGTGTCTAGCAACGCGTCGGGTTGAACGGTAGGCGGTGAAGGTTCACTGGCAAAGTCAGTCCATCTGTCCACCTGGAATTCTCGCTCAAACATCATGGCCTACCTTGCCGGAGCTGGCGAGTAAACGGCAGACTCGTCAGCGTCTACTTTGGTGTCCAATGCTATACGCTTGGGATTTGGGTCATCGTCGGGAATGTCGTCTGCTCGTGAGGTTTCTTCATCCTTGATTCCTGCGGTAGTCGGCGTGGTTGGGGTCTGCTCCCCAGCATTCTTCTCTTTCAATTTTGCCTCCAGCCCATCGACCCTCTTCAACAGTGCTTCCAACACATCTGTCTTTGGCCCACGCTTTTTGGGCACGGCATCTAAAAGCAAGAGGAAAACACATCAGCCTCTTGAAACCTTCCTCAATTCCATCTTTTATCTGTAAGCATGCAAAAGGTTGACTCACCGTATACGCAAGGGCACTGAAAAACTTGACAGGCCTCACATGATGGGCGTAGCCGGTTACACTTGATCTATGTTTATGTTAAGTCAGACTGTGGCCCTATAGTTTTGTATAAAAAATAAAATAAAAAAGGCTCTGGCCTGGGCGAGGCTGAGATGTCATCATTCTGTCTCACCTTGCGCTTGCGGCATGATTTGCAGTTCATAGACTCCCGAGGCTCATTGCTTAGTCGCCGGGTCGGTAGGCGCTCAATACCGACTTGAGGACGGGACATGGCCACAGGGTGAATTCCGGGAGGAGGAAGTCCGTTCATTGATTCGTATACAGACATCGACATCATCCAAAAGATTGGGTCGGTGATGGTAAAAAGAGATCTAGGGTCGTCGAGTGGTTCGGAGCGGCGCCGGTAGACGTGGGGTGAAAATCCGTTGTTTTCAGCAAGCCGAGTAGCTAGCGTAGGCCGGTTGGAGAGCAAAGCTATTGTTGATCAGGTCATATCGAGGTGGCTTCAGAAAGGCCTGGCAGTCGTCTGGCCGGGCTGCCGTGAAGCAAATGAGCTGAGTTGAGAGGCTCACGATGAAGTGCAGAAGCACAGAAACCAGACAAGAGGCCGAGCTAATGGGACAGGATTGGGGACCGGTGAAGTTATGAAGTAAAGAAAGGTAAAGAGGTTGCCAGGCCGGGCCTAGTAGGTAAAATGATGACTGTCTTTCCCCCCAGCAGTCGTCTAGGAGTAGACATGTGGAGGTGGCTAGTGCAGCCGACTAGGGTGTGTTCGTCTCTCGTTGTTCTTGCGTGGAAAGCAGTTCGGATGCATCAAGCACAAGCAGCAGGGGATCAAAAGGGAACGGTTACAGAACCAGGGGGAAGAGATTGACAAGGAGCTCAAGTCCAATCAAGGCAGAGGAGAAGGGGAGGTTGCACGAAGGGGGCAGAAAAAAAAAGAGAAGAAGGCGAGCCGGGGTGGTAGCAGTGGACACTGGGCTCTAGAGAGATTCGAGGATGTCTGCTGTCCGGGCCTGGATCACCTCACAGAGTCTGGCAGGGAGAGTAAGTATAGTGTGGATATGTGAGTGATACGCAGGGTACGGATAGGTTGGCAGTTGGCAGGTATTAGCTTGGGGACGATGAGGAGAAGGAGGCCCAAAGAAAGGACCGAGGAAAGAATGAAGGTGCCGGAGAGAGAGTGAGAGAGGCACAGAAGGAGAGACTAGAGAGACCTCGGAGTGAGACTGGGAGAGGAGACACTCGGAGCAAGTCTGAAGAGGGGGGGGACGATGTTGGGGAAAGATGGGGCAAGGCAGGTTGCTGCTTCGGTAGCGTGGAGGCCGGGGTAGGGGCGGTTTGATCTCAGAGGCTTGTCTTGTTCTGTCCAAGGCCTCGATGCGACTGGGGAGCCGGGCTGGTGCTGGCAGACTGGGATGACGCCCGCCGTCCCTTGTCTCGTTTTCCTTCTTTTCCTTCGCTGTGCCCCGGACGAGAGACCCAGTCATCAAAAGACGGGTATCCGCTCTGTAATTCGCAAAGCGGCACTGCGAATGGCCATCCCGGAGTACCTGGCCCGGTACTTCCATTCAGGCCTTCCATGGTGTACGGTGTATCCGTACGAGCGAAGTACATGGTGAGAAGTGCTCGAGAGTCTTCCCAGCCGGTGGGTAGCTGTCGGTGTCTAAAGATACTTCGTCTTCCCCGTCGTCTACCGCGTGGTGAATGCTTCCACGTCCGGTGTACATGGCCCGATACCGAATCACACATTGATCTCGGACGGCATTGTTACGATAGAGAAAGCTGCCGTGATAGTCCGAGAAGGCGCCATGAGTCGAGGTGAAAAAATAAAATAAAAAAATGTAGAGGAATCTTCAGAGCAATTTCCAACAAAACCCTGGGTAGAGTTAATGAACGACTCGTGGCGAAAGGCAAACCCCCCCCAAGAGCCGGACATGGACAAGGCAGATGGAGGCCGGCGCTGCCTTCAACCTTCTTTCTGTACATAAAACAAGTCCCATCATGCCGTGCCGTGTCGTGATATAACAATTTCAACAACACACACCGATTAGCTCTGCTTCCTCTGGATAATCCGTGATGTTCTGTCAGCGCTGACTCGTCAGACGAACTATGGACATTGGACAGTAACCCGCGAGGCGCCCGAGCGACCTCCCCCTTCGAGACGAGCTGCTGCAGACTCGCGTGGCTAACAAACTGTGATGATGTACCTGCCTTGTGGCGCTGCCGTTGTTTCTTTTCCTCTCACACGACCCGGGGATACCTACATACATGATGGGGGGAGGCGGATGAGCATGGGAGACGAGGATGGTACTCGATGGAGAGGCTGCAAGGGTTGGAGCTGGATGGGATGTGTGGGGTTTCTTGGAGATGAAAAAAGAAGTGAGCTTGTGAGCAAGTGCAGCGCGTGCCGTCACTGCAGCTCACAGCTGTAGCGCGCTCTAAAATGAGGAGGGGGATGCAAGATGGACAGGTCGCCTCGCTCAGATGGACCCAGGTGGGAGACGCACAGCAGGATACCGCTTCCTGTCGGTAGGGATCAGATGTCTGACAGACAAGTGAGCAAGTGCCTGAGGACGGGATATGTAGGCATCTGTCTTTGTTTGGGCCCTGGTTGGGTCGGGTTGTCGTCAAAGTCGGTCATGGGTGGCATTGTGCACCTGGGATTGAAGACGAAATAGGGAGCCGCTCTACCGCACAACATGGCAACGTTCGTTTACCGGACAGGAAATAGAGCGAGAGACAGCCGGTATTTCCGGTTCCTTGTTTGTGGTGGGTATGAGTCGTCCGAACCACCTCGGTGCAGCAAGACGAACGATTGTATTCGTAGGTCAAGACGACTTGGAAGTTTGCGGCATGGCATATGCCAAGCCAAGAGAAAAGCAATACAGAACATGGGAGGAACCATGGGACCTAGTGATGTAAGATGGCATCTGTGATGCAATAACCGAGTTTGGCGATGGTGGACCGTGTTGTCTCTGGTTTTGAAAAGATACTGTACGCCAGCGTACCTCGAGAAAGACATCTCGAAGTTCAAAGTGGAGGTAATGAAATAATTGTCCTTGGGCAGCCAATGTCCATCACTTTCGCACCTAGTCAATCTATCCATCACATTCGCGGTTTGGTCATCAGAAAACTGATAAATGAGGTTGAAACTGCGCCGTCTTGTTGCCGTTGCCGTTGCCTGCCGCACCATGTACATACCCCTACAATAGAGAGCGGCTGGCATCATGCAAGATGAGAGCCGAATCACAGACATGCTCGAGCAGTCAATATATGGTGAACGACAAACTCGTTAATCCCGAGTCAACGGCTGTGGCCGCAGGACCTGCCCGAGCAACACTCTTGTGCCCAACTAACCGCGTTGATGTTGCCAACTCGGTGCTCTACTCAAGCTGCTTCCCTGTTCGAGGTGTACCAAAGATGCTGGAGGTGATTCCCGTACAGGAACTGGGTGCTGATATAGTATAGGGAAGTAAGGCACTTGGGCAAGTCTCGCTGACCTTGAGCACTGACTATGACAGCAGGGTGGAAATAGATTTGTGACCTTACACAGTCCGTTGATGTCAACTTCAAGTCTCAACTGCCCCATGCATGTTGGACGCAAAGTCCCGGCGACCCTCGCCAGAAGTTACCGACACACTGACCTGGGCAGAACCCGACCCGTCCCTGTCCTGTACAGTCGCATCCTCGGCGGGACTGGTCAGCCCCAGGTCACCCCTCCTTTCCCGCAACTGGACAGACCCGAGGTGATCAAGGGACTCTGGGTGGTTCCGCAGTCCTGCCATACACAGTATTCCCCATAGGCCTCATCCAGACGTAGGTATGCTAATCACACTAACTAACAACTGTTTAGAATTTGCCCGATATTTGCTGACCGGTACGGAGCCCGACACTCTGACTCTCTCCATGGCCTCAACAATGGCATCATGGACATCCCCTGGTCCTAGACTTTCGAATGAGAGCAGATGCTGGCCTCTCTGGATAGGAGTTTGGTCTCTGAGAGCACTTTGCCTTACCTTACACGGCATACAGCGCGTGGTAGCTCTCCACCGCGGCCGACAAACCCTAAGGCACGCAACACCCGTTCCGCCCGAAGTGCAACAAGGACATGACTCTGCAACTCACCACAAACTCGTAAAGATGGGTCGTTTCTCGAGAACATCTATCCACATCTCATTCATTAACCTTTTTGTCCCTCATGCCTTGGGGTAGCAGCCGAGCAATCTAACCTCTGCCCATCAGAGCTGTAACCCTCTGTCACAGTCTTGAGTAGGTGTGCCTGGTGGGCACTGGCGTCTCACGAATTAATCAACACGTGGGCGCCAGAGACGCTCTTGACAACCATGCTCTTGATCGTCTAGACTCGCCGCTGGCAGGGGGTGTTCTCGGCCTCATTCATCAAGTCAGCTAGAATTGTCTTGGGCTAATCCACAGGAATCCAGTATCAACCCATATAAAAGTCTGATCTGAGTCCTATCAAGCTAGAATGCTATGAGCTTCGCTATCGACCTTCCGCAAACATCTACTACCCTTCACAGTTGGAATGGGACCCAAGAGCCACCCTTGTACTGCTACTACTGCTACTACTGCCCACCACGTCCCCTCCAAAGTCCAAGGGGACGTGCGAGAGCCATGCACTGACGCAGTAAAAGCCCGGTTGATGGGCGTCTCATCGACCCAGGCGGCACCTGTTGAGGCCGGTACTTGGTCCAAATTACATACATGGCCCATGCATGCACTTCCCCAGAGCAGGTATCTATCGTAGCGTTTTCAAGTACCGGGCAAACACGGCATCACATCTACAAAAGAAAGGACGAGTGGAGGACAAGGCCAACCGTTCTCTTCTCCAAACAAGCTGAGACGGACCTTGTTTGGATCGACGACCACTGTATCTTAAGATGAACATGAGCGTTCAAGCAACAAGGTGCCTGGCAATGCATTCTCGTCATGTCCCGATAGCCTGTAGGCCTGTAGGTAGATCAGATCGGCGACTTGTTGGGTGGATGAACATTGCCAATGCCAGGCCCTTTCTAAAGCCCGGATCCCCGACTTGCCGTTGCCAACCGGCTTCACTTCTGCCCTGTCCATTGAAGACAGAAGCTCCCAGTCCCGGCAGACCGCCCCGTGAGGCCCTGACTTTGTTATACGAAAAAGCGGATATTCAACAACCCTCTCGCACGGGCGG